GTGCTATGGATTCGGACGCCATTTATTGGACTATTAAGTTTAATAACTTGACTTGTGGGTACCTAAACGTTTAGTATTTTAATATTAATTTAATACAAATGTATACATACCCAATAATATTAAACAGAAAAAATAAATATATTCAATAAAAATCTTTGTTTTAACAAATGTACAATGTCACAGCTCAGTAAATATGGGTGCGTTCTTCTATTCCTTCCTCCATGTAACTCCGCGTGAGCGACATCCATTTAAAAATTCCTGCGGAACGCATTACTAAATTCCGGTTGGAGTGCACGCTCTCGAATGGCAAAAACAGCCGCTTGTAGCAGTAGTTTGCAGTGGAAAGCAGCATGACGTCCTCCATGGCTCAGATAGTTTCGTTTAGGGGGTCCATTATGTGGTTTTATGAATGAAAATTTATAAGTTGTGAAAGCGCAAGTTAGTGCACACAGTGATGTAAGTGTCTTTTCGACTTTTTTTCGGATGTAGCCAGCATTCTAATTTTTTTCGTGGCTATTTTGAATGCTCTTTCAACAAATAATCCATTTTATGGTTAAATTTTACAATTGGGAATCTTCTTTTGCCTTTAAAAGCTCATATTTTAGAATTATAAATTCCTCCGTCATGATACTATCGATAGTGCAGGTGCCGCCATCTTTCTTTCACCATCGTTCCTAAATGCCTACAAACAGCAGCGCACTCCCGTAGTAGCGGAGATGCAGAGCAACCACTATTAACGAACGCACCCTATGTCAACACTGAAATGAAAATCAGTCTAGCATAGGGATAATCAGGGAATTACACTATGAAACAGCAAATTGTGCAGCAGCGTTATTGTGAATCAGCGTAAATTGAGCCAGTGTAAACCAAGGGCTACCTGTATATCATCCTCAGAGAAATTAATCAGCAAATCTTCCATTTTCTTTAACAGTACGTCATAAAGATCTACTCTCAAATAAACAAGAACAATTATCAAACTATGACTAGGTGAACAAAAATTTTTCTTACAATTAAATCTAATCACTATTAGATTGTTGGAGTTAAACAACATTTCCGAAGAACCTAATTTTTGGGAAACTGCAAGAATGAGACTGCCATATGGACGACTGGAACCAATTGATTTTCTAGCAAATTGTTCATATAAAAACAAATCTGGGTTCAACAAAGAAAGTACCGGTTTATAAGTGTTAGTTGACCAAGTCTCAGTAAATGCAACTTGATCATAATTTTGCAATAATATAAATTCTTGATCATTGACTGTCAAATCCAGTGTTCTTGACAATTCCAAGACAATATTCTCATTACTAAAGTTTTATTTCTGTCTTTAGCAATTGTTCCACTTAACTCTTTGGCTGGATTTGTCTAAAAAATATCAATCTTCTGTAATTCATTAGTTTCTAAATTGAAAGTGAATTTGTCATCATCAACCGTCAGGCAATCGGCTTTCAGAAATACTTTTTTATTCAAAGATTTAGCTTCTGCAAAAAAGGCAATAATTTTCTATGCCTTAGTCTTGATCTATATGACAAATCATCAAAGACTCTAATGTGCTAGTAGGATAGTGACACCTGAATTTTCTTTAAATTTTTAAAAATAACGCTTTTGTCATCTTGAGTATAGAGCTCAAACAATATAAGCTGAGTTCCCAATATACGATAACTACACTCATGTTTGTGAAAATTGCAACACCATGAAGGAATTGTCAGAAATTAATGAAATTTATTCCACATATTACTGATAGTGGTACAAATAAACAATCAAATTTACAAGAACGTTGGAAATCAATACTTTGTGTCCCCACCACGCTGAGCGATGAGAGCCTGTACATATCATGGCATTGAATCATACAGGTTCTGAATGTAATCCTGGGGAATGACATTTCAGATGGCTTTGACTTGATGCCAAAGTTCAGTCTTATTGTGTGCCCCACCAGCTGTACGAGTGCGTCGCCGACCAATGAAATCCCAGATATGCTCGTTGGGTGACATATCCAAGGAATAAGCAGGCCATGGAAGAAGCAAAACCTGTTGTGCACTGAAGAAGGCTTGTGCAGTCTGAGAAACATGTGCACGGGCATTATCCTGCTGAAATACAGCACCCGGAATGCATCGAAGAAGAGGGCGGACCTCTGGCTTCACAATTTCCTGTATGTAGCGATCACTGTTGAGGTTGCCCGCAATGTGCACTAGATGGGATTGACAATTATACCCAATAGCTCCCCACACCATGGTGTCAGGCGTTTGAGTGATATGATGCTGGATAACACACTGTGGGAGCAGATGTTCCCCTCTGTAACATCTGATGCAAACTCTTCCAACATTGTACTGCAGATTGTAGTGAGATTTGTCGGAAAAAAACAACTTGCCACTGGGCACACCACGTGCTGTGTTGCTGAGCCCATTGAAGTCGAAGGCGTCTGTTAATTAGCGAGAGGGGAATCCTGCGTAGAGGAACCCTTGCATGCAGTTAATGTTGCAGCAGATGGTGACGAACCATAGAGCTAGACAACAAAACACCTGTAGCTGTACTCCAACGTTGTGCCAACACACGAGAGAATGCTGTACGGTCCATCACAGCCATGTGGATTAGGTGTCTGTCGTCCCGTGCTGTTGTGCTATTGCTTGCCCACTGCCAGGTTTTCACTCTATTGGGTTCTCCTCTGTCCATTTCTTCCAAACACGCATCACTGTTGTGGCATTACATTGCATGCGGGCTACAATTTCTCGATACAAAAATCTACCCTCACGCATACTGACGATGCGGCCTCATACGAATTCCATTAGTTGTTGGTATGGCTTCCTCCGCCTTTGATGAAGCGTATTGACCACCAATGTAACATTTACCACAGAGGAAGATAAATGGATTTCAATGCATCTTTACAGTCGTTTATATACCTGGAACAAGCAGCTGATAAGGAGCCGGTTCTCATTCCATGCATATGCAATTGCTTTGTAATTCTACTCATTTGCATGTCTTACCTCACTTTACATTTCCTGTAAGTTTGGTTCAATTTGCACAATTCCTTCATGGTGTTGCAATTTTCACAAACATGAGTGTATTAATAAAAGAAATAGACTCCCGTTTTGTCTTTAAAATAATTCAATAAAGCCATTAGCATTATTAACTAATTCTTCTTCATTACCACTTAAACCAGAAACGATAATGTTATTTTTCAAATTGTTGTGTACAAGAGTCTATATAATAATTAAAAAGAGAAAATTTATCCATACATACAGTTTTAAAAGATGAAAGTTTGGTAATTTCTCCTTCCAGGCGAGATAATGTTCATCGTACTCCTTATGTAAATTAGACAACCAGTCAAATTTTGATGACAGTTCTTCCAATTTCGATAGAATAGTATCAAAATGTTCCTCGAGAAAACACAGAATCTTCTGTGGTAGTTGAGAAGGAATATCCTGAGATGCAAAATAGTCGGGCAGTTGAGATGATTTCAGCGTTGGTTCACTTGGAGATTGACGACATTTACCAGCAGAAGTCAAAGTTTTATTGCAAGGTGAAGAAGGTGGTGTACGAGACATTGGACCTGGGTTAAGTTCAACTCCTCCAATAACAAGCAAAAAGAATAAAATTAAAAAAGAAAGTATCACAGTAGAAAAAGACATCCTCAATAAAGTCAATTAATGGCAACCAGTTGAATTGTAGTTCATAACAGTAAGTCAGAAAAAAACACACCAACAGCCAGCACTGTCAAAAGCTTCCCCAATAATAATTGAAATGCTTTTTTACAATATATACTTACTTTTAATTGCTTGTATTAAGTAAGAAGAATTTGAGATTGACTTGCTTGAAAAATGAGGTAATGAAATGTGATGCTGAAATATTTCTAGTGTTGATGATTTGTGGTGGTATTTGCATGATAGAGAGGAGGCAATTTTATGGAACATTAATGCTATTCCTTGTCAGTTAGAAAATTTTATTTTTGATTTCCTAAATGACAACTCAACATTTTTGTCTTAATGAAATTGTTTATTTTTAAGAAATGTGTACTTGATACATTTTATTAAAATTATTTATATACTGTATTTCTGAGTTATCCTGAACATGTCAATAGTTGTAAACTTACTTTTCCATCCTATTATACATCCATTATTCTCTTCTGATACAAAATATTGTTTGAGAATATTTTATTTCTTTTTTCTTAGTAATTAAAGTCTATGAAAAAATATAGAATTAGTTTGGAATATGTCAATTTACTGAAACAATCTTGACTATTAAATTGTTAATGCTAAATTTATAACGATAATTTTAAATAAATTAAAATGTAATATATTGAAAGTAATAGATAATATGTTACAATTTAAGTATAAATGACAGATGAAAGAATATTGCTTGGTTTATTGAAAAAGAATTAATTTTTATATATTTGGCTAATTTTTTTTAACTGTTTGTTAAGAATTTCTGATTCAGTATGACAATTATTTTCCAGCAAGTAATCTGATCAATTTTATGTGAATGGGTTATTGTTTACAAAAAACTGGTAATAAAAAATGATTTGAAGCAGATGATTTTCTATTGTGATATTTTGGCAATTCCATAGATTTTGATGCAGATATTACTTGTACTTTTTTTACTCTCTCCACCCTGTTGGCACTGGAGGCTTTTTTTTAATCATGGCTATTGTGGGATCAGTCAAAGCTGTTGGGTGGTGAGGATGGGCCTGATGTCTCCAGGATCAACCTCTGAAAAGTTCCTGGGATTTCTCAAGCCATCCAGAATTTGTTTCCAGGTCCCCAGGGTGGTAGGCCGACATCTTAATCACTAGCATGTACTGTATATGCTGTAGATGTATATCAAATTTAATGGTAGGCTTTGTTGTGTTAAAATCTGAGCTCTTGAAGCTTTAAAAATAAATATTTAATTTAATAATTTCTGTACTATCATTAATTTTATATTACAATTCTTATTAATTACAAATACTAATTATATTTAAAACAATATAATTATTAATACTGATATTAATAATTCATAACTTCTTGCAGAGGACAGTTATATAAGTCATCAATTGATTGTTTAAGAAAAACTATAAAAGCTGAAGGCTTCTTTGCTCTTTATAAAGGTTTCATTCCTATTTGGGCAAGAATGGTAAGTCATTACATTTGACTTTTTTTTAAAAATTAAGCTATAGAAAATGAACTACTGAAATATACAGTAAACTCCCGATTATCCGGGCTAATGGTGGGGGAGAGGTGGCACAGATAATCCGAACTATAATTATTTATTTCTAAAATACAACATGCAGATTCACCTTTTCCAAATTTTTCAATTAACGTTAGTCTTTGTTTTATAGTAAGTACGACTTTCTTTCGATTATTAGGCATTTTAAGGGTACTTATCTGAAAATTAAAAAAAAAAATCTTATTTTACGTAATTTTACACTAAAAGTATTTGTGGGAGAGTTATTTGAAAAAAAATATTATGTATAATATGTATTATACATACATACAATACATATAATCAAATCTTAAATTGTAATATGTATTATAACATGCAACTAAACGAAACTTTGTATAAATGTACTCACTATTGTTTTCTCCTTCGAAAAGAAACGTCCAGTGTGAAAGAAGCGGTCTAACTAAAACCAGTCCAGCTGACTTCAGATACCCTACCACCCACTTCAAACATCTAAATACGAACACATGCACATTTATAGGATGCATAAACATGAAAGCGAGCAACTATTTAAAAATACATACACACACNACTGATATTAATAATTCATAACTTCTTGCAGAGGACAGTTATATAAGTCATCAATTGATTGTTTAAGAAAAACTATAAAAGCTGAAGGCTTCTTTGCTCTTTATAAAGGTTTCATTCCTATTTGGGCAAGAATGGTAAGTCATTACATTTGACTTTTTTTAAAAATTAAGCTATAGAAAATGAACTATTGAAATATACAGTAAACTCCCAATTATCCGGGCTAATGGTGGGGGAGAGGTAGCACAGATAATCCGAACTATAATTATTTATTTCTAAAATACAACATGTAGAATCACCTTTTTCAAATTTTTCAATTAACGTTAGTCTTTGTTTTATAGTAAGTACAACTTTCTTTTGATTATTAGGCATTTTAAGGGTACTTATCTGAAAATTTAAAAAAAAATCTTATTTTACGTAATTTNATTATTTATTTCTAAAATACAACATGTAGAATCACCTTTTTCAAATTTTTCAATTAACGTTAGTCTTTGTTTTATAGTAAGTACAACTTTCTTTTGATTATTAGGCATTTTAAGGGTACTTATCTGAAAATTTAAAAAAAAATCTTATTTTACGTAATTTTATACTAAAAGTATTTGTGGGAGAGTTATATCAAATCTTAAATTGTAATACATATTATAACATGCAACTAAACGAAACTTTGTATAAATGTACTCACTGTCGTTTTCTCCTCCGAAAAGGAACGTCTGGCATGAAAGAAGCGGTCTAACTAAAACCAGTCCAGCTGACTTCAGATACCCCCACCACCTGCTTCAAACATCTAAATACGAACATGTGCACACTTATAGGATGTGTAAACATGAAAGCAAGCAACTATTTAAAAAATACATACACATTAATTATTTTTTTTTTTTAAATTAAATTCATGCACAGATAATCCACACATGGATAATCAGGAGTTTACTTTATATCAATATATAAACAATATATTATGTGATTTATTTTGTAATTCTTGTTATATTTGGGTATAAACATTAAAGTATAAAAATTCCTATTTAATGATTAAATATTTTTTAAATTTCAATTTTCTATCAAATTTTATTCCTAAAGACAACTGTGCTGTACTGAAGTTTTTATTAGACTCGTGAATTACTTGCATGACTTGACATTTTTGTTGAAATATTCATGTACTGTACAGTACCTTAAATAAGAAAGTTTTATAGTGATAACAATTACGACTATTAAATGACATGCAAAATATTAATAAACAGGGATTTGTTACATTAATAAAGATTGTCAAATTCAAAATCAGTTTTTGAGGTTTAATAAAATTTTGAATTTTTAAAATTAAAATTTTTTTATCATGTGTTTGATTAGAATGTCACTATAAGAATGACTGATATCAGTGGTGTGCCGTGACATTTGATGATTTCTGCTGTGTTTCTGTAAGAAGCCGACTTCCAGGGACAATCAGTTAATTGGGCATCAGCGATGATCTAGGCCAGGCATGGCCAACATACGTCTAATGAATTTATGCGGCCTGCGATTAATCTTTCAATATTAGCTACTTAAGTCCAAATATCTCAATGAAAAATTCTGATGCCTAAAAAAACAGTCAAGTAACTGTGTGATTAGAGTTAACGTTGTATTACAAATGTCTTCAGCACAGCGTAGAATGTTGATAATGCATGATAATGTGAAAAATGTATCTGTAATCTCTATGAACAATTTAGTCTCTACGGAGTGACACAACAATGAGATCTTGCAANAAATAAGAAAGTTTTATAGTGATAACAATTATGACTATTAAATGACATGCAAAATATTAATAAACAGGGATTTGTTACATTAATAAAGATTGTCAAATTCAAAATCAGTTTTTGAGGTTAAAAAAAAAATTTAAATTTTAAAAATTCAAAATTTTATTAATCATGTGTTTGATTAGAATGTCACTATAAGAATGACTGATATCAGTGGTGTGCCATGACATTTGATGATAGGGAAGCTGTGTTTCTGTAAGAAGCATACTTCCAGGGGCAATCAGTTAATTGGGCATCAGTGATGATCTAGGCCAGGCGTGGCCAACATATGGCCCGTCTAATGAATTTATGTGGCCCACGATTAATCTTTAAATATTAGCTACTTAAGTCCGAATATCTTAACAAAAAATTCTGACACCTTAAAAAAAAAAGGTCAACAAGTAACTGTGCGAATAGCATTAACTCTCCATTACAAATGTCTTCAGCACAGTGTAGAATGTTGATAATGCATGATAATGTGAAAATGTATCTGTAATCTCTATGTACGATTTAGTCTCTATGGGGTGACACAACGAGATCTCACAACACCTCAAAATCTTGCTAGGGCAGCCTCTGGTTCGGCCTGTGAAAAAAGTTTTCTTTCCAATTTGGCCCGGGGGCAAAAACTGTTGGCCACCCCTGATCTAGGCCCTCTAGGGTCCATTTGTATTTGTTTGTTTGATAAACCAGTAAAAACTGTAGACTTCTCTAAATGTATTTTTAATAGATTATCTGATGTACTTAATAAATAAAGAAGTTCAATATAATTACCTCTGTTATTAGATTCAATAGATTCCCTATGCCCTCTAAACACCAATTCTTGCTTTGATAAAAAACATATATTATATCTAAATTAATAGATGTTATATCTATTAACTGTAACTATCTCATTATAATTTTCAATATTTATTTTATATTATTTACTAATGTTAAATTCTATTCTGCTTTGATTTCCAAATTGCTTCAATTTTACAAAAGAATCGATGTAACATTTACAATTTTCGTGTCTTTTTCCAGCTTTACTCAAATTATTTAAATCATTAAAGCCATTCTTATTCCACACACTAATTTCATTTGAAATAGTAGGCAAGGCCAAGAAAACAATTTTTGCATTTTTATGCATTCACAAGGCCATTTTATGTCTTCATAAATTTTAGAGCCTGTACACACTAGGCGTTTTTCAACGCGCGTTAAACGCACGTTTAAAAGAACCAAGAGTTCTATGTAGCCATACACATTCAAACGCGCTTGGCCAAATTTTTGTTAAAACGCGCGTTTTGCGGGCGTTAGCCGAGCGCTTTGAGATATATGTGCTGCCATGTTACCATACATGTGATTGCGTGTTTTCCCGGCGCTTTACAGGCGCTTCTAGATTTACGCCGCCATTTTGCTGTATATTCGATCGCGCGCTTTTGGATAATATCTACTTTTATAATATGGAGTAAGTCGTCAAATGATTTTATAGATATTTTAAAAAAATTAAAAAACTTGAATTTATTTTGTCTTAGTTTTGGATACAACATCGCAAACATTTCATGAGTCAGTCTATCTCGTAATATTGGGTGCACCCAAAATTCTCTTTGCCTCTGCCATCGTCTTTTATAGCGACGATAGAGGAGCCACACACAAGCAATCACTTCCACATCCATTTCCAAACCGAGCCAGTGCACACGCTCCGCTAAACGCTCGTTTAAAAACGCCTAGTGTGTACACAGCCTAGTGTGTTTCTATATGAAGCCGACATCCAGGGGCAATCAGTTAATTCTTTCTTTAAATGTATTTTTAATAGATTATTTATCTGACGTAGTTAATAAACAAGTTCATTATAATTACCTCTGTTATTAGATCCAATATATTCCATATGCCCTCTAAATGCCAATTCTTGCTTTGATAAAAACATATATCATCTATTTATTTAGATATAATATATCTATTACCCATAATTATCTCGTTACAATTTTCAATATTTATTTTATATTATTTACTAATGTTAAATTCTATTCCGCTTTGATTTCCAAATTGCTTCAAATACGAAAGAATCGACGATTTTTCGTGTCTTTTGCCAGCTAAATTGTCAAAGACATTCTTATTCCACACACTAATTTCATTTGAAAATAGTAGGTGAGCCAACAAAACAATTTTTGCATTTTTATGCATTTACGGAGCCATTTTATCGTGAAAATGTCAAACAAATTTTTTTGTTGAAGTATTTATATTTAATTTAGGCATTGGTCTTTCTCTTTTAATAATGTTTTCTTTTTCATTATATGATCTCGAGCCAAAACTTTTTTAAAATAAATTTTCAATATCGCAATTACATTCCGAATCGCTAGCCACGATATAAGGGCTAAAATTAAAAATAAAATTATAAAAACTTACTTGTGTGGTGGATATACATATCTGGTACAAAATATTCTTCAATTGTATGAATATATTTTTTAAGAATATTATAATTAAATATAGCTTTGTAAAGAAACATACATAAAATAACAAAATCTTTTTTACTTTTTAAATCTTAAAACAATCCACTTAGCTCCCTATGAGTGGAATTAGAGACAGTCCTGCTAGGCGCATGCATGCAAGCTGCCAAATCCCGAGGGTGCCGATACAGGTCAATGTCAAATGCCTCTTTTGTCGCATCATTAGTATACCTCAAAGGAACAGGGTTGTAAATTTTAAATTATTTCTCACCATGGCTGTAAAAATCTAAACATATTAAACTTAATAGATTGTCCGTCATATGCTTTCTAACTAATTTCTTTCAGAACCAGGGTCCACAAAAATTTCCAAAATTTACAACTCTTCAGTCACGCTCATTGAACTGAAAAAATTTCTGTCTTTATTACATCTAATGTTACAAAGAAATCAGTCCTCACTGTACTCGGCTAGGGATTGGTTCAGTTAAGCTTTTAAGTAAAATTCTGGCTCTTTCAGCAGGGTTTTATTTATGTCCCTAACTCTCTAATCTCTTAATTATTTAGTAAAAATAAGTTGAAACCGGTTACTTTGTACTTGAATATTTGTAGTCTTGGGAAAAAAGTGGAAAGACAAACTTTTATGACAATGGATACATAAATTGTAAATTTAACGAATATAACTTCTAGAGCTTTTTTTGTACCTCGTGTGTCTCATTCATTAAATTTAGTTGTAAATGATACTGCCAAAGTAACAGTTAATTTTTTAACACTGTACAAGAATTGTACACATTTTTTTCTGCATCCCCTTATAGATGGGACATACAAAATCGTAATATCACTGGTTTAACATTGAAATCTGTAATACAAGATGAGAGAGCAGAATATATATATCAAATATTTTAATGGATTTTTTTAAAACTCCTATCAACTATACAGAACTATCATAAAAACATAACCCAACCGATAGGAATTTACTGGTAAGTTATACGTAAATCTACTTGTGATTCACATAATGGGGCAAGGGCAGCCAAATATCTAGCAGGTAGGCGGCTAACAGCCCAGAACCGATCCTGGATAGAATCATTAGAAGCGTTGTGTTTGTAGCTTCCACTGTGAGGTTGGTGCTCTGTAAAGTGCATGCGCGAATGCTTATAATCTGGCTGCTTTACACCATTCAAATATTTTCATATGCTCAGTATTCAACAATATGGCATTTCCATTGGAAATATCCATATACGAATTTATATTTGAATATACAATAACAATCTTATTGTTTTTTTTACATGTAGTATAGAAATTTGTAATAAGATAGGTTCAAATATAAATACATGTTGTGCGATTATTTTCATATTTTAGAAAATATTTATACNTATTATAATTAAATATAGCTTTGTAAAGAAACATACATAAAATAACAAAATCTTTTTTACTTTTTAAATCTTAAAACAATAGCTCCCTAAATCTTAGTTAAATAGCTCCCTACGAGTGGAATCGGAGACAGTCCTGTTAGGTGCATGCATGCAAGCTGCCAAATCCTGAGAGTGCCGATACAGGTCAATGTCAAATGCCTCTTTTGTCACATCACTAGTATACCTCAAAGGACACGACAGGGTTGTAAATTTTAAACGTTTCTCACCATAGCTGTAAAAATCTAAACATGTTAAATTTAATAGATTGTCCGTCATATGTTTTCTAACTAATTTCTTTTAGGACCAGGGTCCACAAAAATTTCCAAAATTTACAACTTTTCAGTCATGCTCATTGAACTGGAAAAATTTCTGTCTTTATTACATCTAATATTTCAAAGAAATTAGTCCCCACTGTACTCGGCTAGGGATTGATTCAGTTAAGCTTTTAAGTAAAATTCTGGCTCTTTCAGCAGGGTTTTATTTATGTCCCTAACTCCCTAATCTCTTAATTATTTAGTAAAAATAAGTTGAAACCGGTTACTTTGTACTTGAATATTTGTAGTCTCGGGGAAAAAGTGGAAAGACTAATTTTTATGACAATNCCCCAATTCCCTAATCACTTAATTATTTAACTAATTCTTAAGTAGAAGTAAGTCGAAACCGGTTACTTTGTACTTGAATATTTGTAGTCTCGGGGAAAAAGTGGAAAGACTAATTTTTATGACAATGGATACATAAATTGTAAATTTAAGGAATATAAATTCTAGAGCTTTTTTTGTACCTCGTGCATCTCATTCATTAAATTTAGTTGTAAATGATACTGCCAAAGTAACAGTTAATTTTTTAATACTGTACAAGAATTGTACACATTTTTTTCTGCATCCCCTTATAGATGGGAGATATGAAATCGTAATATCACTGGTTTAACATTGAAATCTGTAATACAAGATGGGAGAGCAAAATAAATATATCAAATATTTTAATGGATTTTTTAAAAACTCCTGTCAACTATACAGAACTATCATAAAAACGTAACCCAACCGATAGGAATTTACTGGTAAGTTATACGTAAATCTACTTGTGATTCACATAGTAGGGCGAGGGCAGCCAAATATCTAGCAGGCAGGTGGCTAACAGCCCAGAACTGGTCCTGGATAGAATCAGTAGAAGTGTTGTGTTTGTAGCTTCCACTGTGAGGTTGGTGCTCTGTAAAGTGCATGCATGAATGCCTATAATCTGGCTGTTTTACACCATTCAAATATTTTAATATGTCCCGTATTCAACAATACGGCGCTTCCATTGGGAATATCCATATACGAATTTATATTTGAATATACAATAACAATCTTATTGTTTTTTTTTACATGTAGTATAAAAATTTGTAATAAGATAGGTTCAAATATAAATACATATTGTGCGATTATTTTCATATTTTAGAAAATACAAGGGAAGCGGCACTTCCACTGCTTCCAAGGACGGCACTCCACTGACTGATACACACATATAATATTTATTCTGATTAGAAACTGTCACAAATTTTTCGTTAGAAATAATAATAAGAATGTTCAAGTATAATCTGATGAATATTTGTGTTAAAAAAACTGTTTATTGTACAAATTATTGTAATTTGCAATTATTTCAGAAAACTTTTTTTTTCATATTGATTAAAAATGCAATTGAAATACATAAATTTTTTCTCTAAAATAACTGTTATTAATTTATTTTAATAACAGTTATTAAAATATATTAACATAAAAGTAATAATTCAAAATTACTAATGATTACATCTTTTCTGTTTACTAAAAATTTGGTTTATCAAATAGATTTAAAGTAAGAAATTGTTATTTCAAACTTTTTGAAGTATTAATCTAAATTTTATTAAGATTTTTATAGACTTTTATCGAAAATACAAATAGCTTTTTTACCTTTTGCATTTTAAATGAAACATTGCTGTAGTCGTTTTAATAAAAGATTAATTTTTAATAAAATAAAAACACTAATAATTTATTTACAACAGTAATCTTTAGAATAAAAATTAACTTCTGTTCTAAGCAACAAAATTATCATTTTTATTCAGTATACAGAATTTATTATTAATTTCGTATATTCAATGAAAAAAATATTAGCTTTTTGTTTTAATATTAAATGTGAGGTAAGCAAATCTAACAATTTTATTTTATTATGCATTAAAATGGTTTAACAAATAAATAATAAAATTTATAAATACTTTCTTTAATTTTGTTGAATAAAAAATTGTAAAATTTAAAAATTATTAAAATATTTCTACACTTTATTTTCCTGCCACATCTTATATGTAGTGAAATGGAGGTATATAGTTATTAATAGTTCTTGGACCATACACCTAAATAATGATTCCCACAAATTATGACCAGGTTCATAGAAATATATCAATATTAAGTAGATACATTCTGAAAAGAGTAGCTAACCTATATAAACCTATATACTGTACATAAGATCACACAGCATAGTTAATCTTTCAAAGCTTTTTTCTATCTGAAAACCAAAAATACAGATTGGGAAGACTCCAAAATTAGTCTTCTAATTAGCAAATATTTTTTAATGCCATTTTTTTTAAATAAATTTTTTAATCATTAACATAAAACACTGTTTAATCGCTATAATACTATGTATCATTTTGTTGTTTTATTTGAATTTCTACTTAAACACGAAATTTATTATATTTTAAAATGAAATACTAGATTCCTAAAAAAAATATCGTTGTTTAATAATTGATTTATATACTATAGTCTTTTCTTTTAAAGAAATTTATTAGAGTTTTAAAAATATATATTTGCTTTGTTTGATTTGCTAATATTTTTAATATCGTTGTCTCCAGGCTCCATGGTCTCTGACGTTTTGGCTCACTTACGAAGAATTAAGAAGACTCTGCGGTGTATCGTCATTTTAATTACTTTTCCGTGTTTTAATGGAAAAATGGCCATAAAAAAATCAATCAATGCACAAATTTAGTGGTGATCGTATATATATATAAAGTATATATATATATAGTCTTTTGTATAGTTGAAACTGAAGTAAAAAAAAAATGCTGTAAATAAAAAAAAATCTTAATTTTTGTAGCAGAAATAAAACTATTTCCAAGGTGTTTCTTTTAATTAAGATATAATTTTGTTTTTCCACTAACAAGTTTAAGTTTAGGAAGATAAATTTATATTTACATCAGCTGTTTCAAAGACAGGTAATTTGAATTTGATATATTAAATATCCATTGCATAAATATTGGAGATTTCCTATGCCTTTTCTAAATACAAAATGAATTGACAAGAGTCACAGAATTATTTTTAATATCAAAATCTGCTAATATTTAAGAAATTGTTTCTTGATCTCAGGTTCGAATCCAATTTGGAGAATGTTTTGTCGATTTTTAAATAATTTGAGAAAGTGTACTGGCTTTTGTGTTATATATTTTTTAGTAGTAGTATTAAAATAACGATATAAAATCACCAATATTCTGCGAAATGCATCGAAAATTGGCGAAAGATATAATTCGAGTAATGAGCTAGAAGAAAATGTTTACATACCGCTGGGGTGACTAACCTTTTTGAAACTGCGTGTCAAAGTGTTCATATTTATCTGTGAAAAAATTTATGCGTGCCAGAGTCGAGTTCGAAAAGCTATTTTTAAAATAAAGGGAATATTATTAACTTAATTTTAAAAAAAAAAACCCTGACATTCAGTTTATTAAAAATTCAAATTAAAATCTTAATGTCATGACTCACGAGATTTACTTCGTCGCAATGATTTTGTTTTTGAAATATTTCTGATGGAAAAGAGAATAATTGTACTGTTTTATTATTTATACTTATTATTATTAAAATTAAATAGTTAAAACTAAACGAAATCACCTATCTAACATAGGCCAGATGAATTCCGACGTGCCACAATCCTTGATCTAAGGCAATGTCTTTTCAACAACAGCTTGAAAAGCAATCTAACAATAAAATGGGAATCGTGGACTGTGACTAGGACCTGTCCTTGTGTTTTTGAGGCCTCCAGTATGACACAATATTTCTAACGGACATATTTTTGATACACAAGACAACAAAACGACTAGTGATAAATATTCTCATTCGAATGGCTTTCTTTCTTTGGTACAATTGTTAAAAATGAAATTAATATTACAATGCCTTAACACGAAATTTAAAAGTTCATTTGCCCTTTTTACTCGTCCAAAGTAGAGGTGCATCTTACATTCAAAGTCCAAAATAATACATCTACCAAAACATCACCTATTTCATAGTACTGTATTTATACTATTTTATCAAACTTCGTAACGAAATGAAATTTATTCCGGATTTTATAATCAGGAAAAATCCGGAATAACTCATGCTCCGATGATACCAGATTAAAAAAATGTTCAATTTTAATACTACAGAAATCAATACTTAGAAAGATGTGATAAATTCTAATCATGTATATAAGGAAATTATGGTGGAAGAATCATGCAACATATTACCCGAATATAATCTAATCTCCAAGGAGGAATCTCTATAATAAAAGTTTGAAATGTGAAGATTAAATTTCCATAAATACTAATACATAAATGGTCAATCTACTTATTCACAATTTATTAAGTAAATAGATTAAAAGTAAGTGATAGAGCTGTCAAATGCACGAGTACTGGAAACTTCTTTGTGACACTTTCTTGATTAATATCGTCAACTCTAATATAATGCAATATCATCTAATCATTTTAAATAATTACATTACTCACTTAAATCTCTGAAAATTAAAATATTAACTGGATTTCTAAATATTTAAAGTCATTTTTAAACGTGAGATCGAATTTTGTTCATTAATTAATTAATTATGGAAAATTTATTATTAAAATTATTTTCATGATTATCATAGCGATGAAACTGTATAATTCTTTCGATCATTTTTTTTTAAACTAAAGAATTTTTACAAATTTTATTGAAATGAAAAACATGTAGAAGCTTTTAATTAAACCACTTAGACCTAACTATTTAATATCAAGTAGAAGGTCTTTAAGCTGCATTAATTTATTAATTGTTAATCAGATCTTCTTTTCTTCTTTCAACATTTATAAATTTTAATGAAATATAGTTAATACTTTATTACAATTAGTATATTTTATTAATTTTCGGGTTAAGATGCGAAATGTTAAAATTGTGGCTTAAAAAAATAAATTTGACGTGATCAAAAAAACTTTATGAATGATTTTTTTTGGGGAGGATTTCGAATCTTCAAATTAATATTCCTTTGCGTATGCAAAATGTTAAATAAATTAATAATTAATTTTGGAGATGGTTACTTTACATTGTTTATATTGTTAGAAACAATCATATTTTTTTTTAACAAACCAAGAAACTAATAAAGTAAACAGTGGTAATTAATTAATGGCATCCCAAATGACACAAAGTGCATTAAATGCACTGAAACTAGAACTTAAAAGTTTGCAAAAGGAACCCGTCGAAGGTTTTGTAGTGAAGTTAGTAGACGAAAGTGTTCTGTCTGAATGGGAAGTAGCCATTTTCGGACCACCTAATACTATATACGAAGGAGGATATTTTAAAGCACGAATGACATTTCCTTCCAACTATCCTTTCGCTCCTCCGGCTATCCGTTTTATTAGAAAATTTTGGCATCCAAACGTATATCCTAATGGAAACATCTGCATATCGATTCTTCATCCTCCAGGAGATGATCCTCAAAGCGGAGAACTTTCCTGCGAACGCTGGAATCCAACTCAAAACGTAAGAACAATCTTATTGAGTGTTATTTCACTTTTGAATGAGCCAAATATCAGTTCTCCGGCTAACGTAGACGCTTCTATCATGTATCGAAAATGGAAAGAATCGAAAGGATCGGAGAAGGAATACGAAGAAATCATTAAAAAACAAGTTTCGGACAGTAAAACGGATGCTGAAATCGATAAAGTTGTGGTTCCATCCACGATAGAAGACTATTGTGCTAAAAGCACCGTTGCATCTGTAGATATGGAATCTAATATAACAGATTTTTCCGACGATTTTATGCCAGATTCCGATGAAACTGTCGACGACGAAGAAGAAGTTAATACAAATGGAGGACGTGGCAATAAAAGTAAAGAAAATCGCAATAAAAATTAAATATTTAATATTTCATTTAAAAGACAATCATATTTCTTATTTATAATATTTCGTTTGATTTTCAATAAGATGCGATATAATGAAAATTTGTTTAAAAGAAGACATTTCAAAATTATACTAATAAAACAAGCATATTATGATTTAATTAAATGTGCAATTTGTATAATTTAACCCTGCACTTTTATATTACTCCTGCGTAGAGCTCCATTTAGTAGCGACGATACCCCATTTTTGGCTCTTTCGTCCTGTGGGCCTTAAGAGAGTCTTTTTTTTTTTTTCCATATACATTTCCTGTTTTAATTAAAAGGCAATATATTCTTAATAAATAAATTTAGTTTTATTTTGTTTTAGATGTGAGGCCGTCCATTAATGGTTGAAGTTCCTCCATATGTGAAGGATCTGGAGAAACTTCAACCATAATTGCTAACTTGTACAAAAAGAAAGACATTTACGTCAAGAAATTTAACTAATTATAAATTATAAAATATTAAATACAGTTTTAAACTCAATGTTAAAATTGTTATTTTTAATCGTACCCTAATTGAATCTTTAAATTTTATTTTCTTGTTCGACTCTGATTAATAGTAGTGCCCATTACTCTAGTAAGTGATAAAGACAAAATTATTACGTTAGAATTAAAAATAAATAAATAAATTACTGGAACATCGTCTGCCAGAAATATTTCAAAAATAATGAAAGTAAAATTATACAAAAACAAATAATTAAAGTGGTAGTACAGTACTCAAAAGGAAGACATTATTGGTAAAAAGGAGCGGGTGACAATACTATACAGTTCGATGGAGGACTGTTTTTCCAAAGAAGGGGCACTACCTTTATACATTTATTGATGTAAATCGTAATTATTTGTCTCCAACCTTTGACCCCTGAAAAATTTTCTGCGGACGTCCACGATGTATTTCCTAAGAATACAGAAAATCCAAGCTACGTCACTGCACTTCATATAATATTAGAATAAAATTATGCAAATATACTTTTAATTTTATATGGAATTAAATAATAATACACCTAGAAACTTTAAATAATACCCTCAGTTAAAATCAAATGAAAATGTTATTTAATAAACAAGTCTTTCCTGATAGTTTTAGTCTGTTTGATAATCAAAATACAAATATACAAGAATATATTAATAGATTTATCTCAAACAGGACTATATTTATATAGATTAAATATTTAAATTTTATGTAAAAGTAGTATTAAACAATAGTTCATATAAATATCACTAGATGACACTATATAGCTTGTACTGTACTCGCTTAAGGCATGTGTTTATGATTATATAATACAGGATAACAGATAGTCGGGAAGTAATAGGACAGTAGTTATTATTTTTGCTAATAATTACATTTTCTTTTATTTCATAATACTACTGTTTATATAGTAGAAGTGACAGGAATTACGCTATGGTTCATAAATGCATTGATGTAGATAGACTCGAAACAATTATTTAATTAGATTCCTTTTTGTTTTGCGTATGTAAATATCGCATGTATTATGTTCTGCTAATAAAATATTTCTGATTAAAAGGTCTATCTTTAACAATCATATTGTTTATAGGTCACCCTATACAGTCGACCTCCCTATAACACTGTTGATTATTTCGTNGCTATTTATACAGTCGACCACCCTATAACACTGTTGATTATTCCGTTTTATATGAATTCCATGTTGTACGAGTCACTTAGATTTTACAAATACGTGTGCCGAGCTGTGAACGGCTCACGTATTTGTAAAATCTAAGTGACTCGTACAACATGGAATTCATATAAAACGGAATAATCAACAGTGTTATAGGGTGGTCGACTGTATTAAGGATGGCGATCTTTTTTGAATCCGTGTGCTATATAGTTAGCATAATTATTTTAAATTATCTCTTAAATCTCTTTGTTTTATGCATGCCGTAGATTTTACACTTCGGATAACGATTTTGAAACATGTTTTTATTAGAATAAATGTAAAAAAAAGTTGATTGAGAAAAGGGTGATCATATACTAAATTGAATATAGTGTTTGATATTTAAAAAAAGCATCTATTATTTAAAGAAAAAAATCGAGTTCTATAAAAAGTGGCGGATCTAGAACAACTCAAAGGGGGGACTCATTCAAAATTTTAAAATATTTAAATAATTTTATAAGTAACTTTTATTAATATACGTATTGCGGATGGTCCGAAAAATCGTATGAACTCCAAGAAACGGTTAAAGCAATATTTGATTCTATATAATGTCATAAAAAAACAATCCTTTTCTCTGAATCTTTACAAGTTCAAGCTTCTCATATACTGTATATACTATTATCCAAACTTATCAAATGAAAATCTAAAGATACCAATACTTACACTTTCAGAACTTATAAAATAGTAATTTGATTCCTTTTCACGTATTCTAGAATTTTTAAAAAAAGCTAAATCTAGAAATCTTTTTGACTTAGACAGACATACTTTTTTAAATCCCGTGAATCTGTTTTCCTCCGAGAATACAAATCCGATTTATTTTAATATTGTGTAGCAAAGTCTTTCCCTTTTAAAATTTCAAGCATTTTTTTTTTTTTTTCTGTTGCTGTCTTGAGATTTGGAAATGTATTTATTTTCTGCGAAATTTTATTCTACGGAATTAAACTTTTCCACAAAATCGTTGAAGTCAAAGCACCAAACAATACATATTTTTATGAATATTGGATCCAATAACATATTCTAATTATTATAAAATAAAAGTTTGAGATATTATTAAGAAGAAAATTATATTTCTATATTTAGATACACTTCAATATTACTCAGGAGAAACTTTTTATATTCATGGTTTATATCTATATTTTACTGTCTTCTTTGAAAGGCGTATCCAGTATAAAAGATAAAATTTATTTTCATATTATATATATATAGGTTATTGGAAAATTATTGGAATAGGCAACTTTATAATAGAATTATCTATTTAAATAATTTGTAGTATAGTCAATTTGTTCTTACCTCTTGTATTGGTTTTCTATGGTCAATTCAATATCTTATTCATCATTTGATTTCTTATATCCTGCTATATTTCTATCGAAATTTCCTTTCTTTATTGATAGTAAAGGAATTTATTTGATCTTTAGATTTATTACTTTACAGATATATCTATAATATATATAGTATAATTAAGATTTAAATCATTAGTATCAACATCTATCTGATTGTTTTATTCAAAATTTTCTCATTAGCAATCTTTGAAAAATATTTTTATCTATTGTTTTCTTTTCGAACTTTTGATTTGTTGTGCGGGTTCATAACTTATAACAATAAAAAAAAATAATAATAATAAACTGGAATTGTATAGTACCAAACGTTACAACTTTTACGTGACGAGACGACAAATATTTCGGAAAGATGCCAATTGTTTTATTATAAAATGCTTAGATTTCATTTCGATCGGAGCAAAACAAGTTTATGTTTGAATCTTTCTTTGGACAGACACGGCTTTGACTTTTGATTTGTTGTGCGGGTTCATAACTTATAACAATAAAAAAAAATAATAATAATAAACTGGAATTGTATAGTACCAAACGTTACAACTTTTACGTGACGAGACGACAAATATTTCGGAAAGATGCCAATTGTTTTATTATAAAATGCTTAGATTTCATTTCGATCGGAGCAAAACAAGTTTATGTTTGAATCTTTCTTTGGACAGACACGGCTTTGACTGTATGTTTAGTATTATATTTAGCATTCAATTATTATATGAATAAGAGATAAAACGTTACCGAAAATTCAGTTTAATCATTCACGATAGTGTTTACAGTTGGTGTCAGATAATATTCCTTTTCTTTAAATTCTCTTTCGCAAATGTTATAGATCTAATTTTTTTTTTATTGTTAAACTGTGTTTTGGCATCTAATCTCAAGAGATAGCTCAGTTTGTCAAATATCTTGTCAAAAGATGGCATTCTTGATAAAATACAAAAAGAACAGCATGATTGTATGGAATCATCTTATTCCCATTTCGCCACCGACTATAATGAAACAATTGTATTTTTTTTTTTTTCCTCCCACAATATATTTTCCCTTTGACTACAAAAATTTGATAGATCGACTGATCGTTCAGAATTTTTCAACATTTGTTGTGATGGATAGATAAAAAATTATCCAGAGAGAACAATAGTTGTTTATGATATAAAATTTCTTGAATTATTAATGAATCTGTAACCTTTTCAACTATCAATACAATAAAGTAAACTAAAATTAAAGTATCAGAATTTCACATTACTGATGTTTAGCCCTTAACCATAATACTTTTTAGATGATTTTTTTTCTTTGTTCTATGAAAAACAGATGATCCATTTTCCACGAATGAATTTAGATCCAACTAAAATGGAGAAAAGATAAACTATCACTACATTTAAGCTTAAACTTTTGTCGAAGACATTATTCATCTTCTAGTTCATCTGATTCAATTTTTAAATCACTAAGTATCTCATTCTATCAACATTCAAATTTCTCAGAAAGAATAAACACATTAACCTTCAATAATTTCGATTGTTCTCAAAGACTGGAAAACGAAAGAAATAAAAGACAGTGCTTCTTACATAATCTGTAAGCTTAGGGAAAAGCTAACTATAACAAGAAAAATCAAAGAAATGAAACAAACATTGTCAATTGTTCAAAACCTTCAAGATCTCATAGATTATCATAGATAATACCAGTCGTAACGTTGTTCACTGCTCCTCATCCACGTTGGTCGACTCATCCGTAATGAGTATACGTTACCAGCCATTATTGTCAAGTGTTCTTAGATTTTACAAATACATGAGCTGTTCGCAGCCCGGCACACGTATTTGTAAAATCTAAGTGACTCGTACAACACGGAATTCATATAAAACGGAAAAATCAACAGTGTTATAGGGGGGTCGACTGTAATCAAAACAATTGTAAAAATTATAATTGCAATAAAAATACAATACGTTAATAATCATTCTAATGCAAA